GGACAGGTACAGCGTTCATCAACGGTTCCTTTGACCGCGACATGACAGGCTGAAAGTGCATTGCTAGGCGCCACCACCGTGCAAAGAGCTGAAGCGAGCTCCACCACCTCGGGAGGTTCTGCAGCATGGGCCGCCACCTCTGGAGAAGCTGCAGTGGGCGCCATCGCCTCGGGGAACACGGCAGCGTGCGCCACTACCTCGGGAGGATCTGCAGCATCAGCCGCCACCTCGGGAGACATCACAGTGGCCGCTGCCGTTTCTAAAGTTTCAGTGGTGGTGTGTGCAGCCCAAATACACCATAAAGCGATCCCCATTGTGGGAAGCGCTCCAGACCGGGGAATTAGTTCAGGAACTGGAGGGCTTGAGAGCGCTGGCTTAGGGATACCAGCTGCACGTGCCGACACCAGCGGTGGGTCCTCCACGCTGGATACCAGTCTGGGATACTGAAGAACAGTCCTTGTGGATCTGGGTGCAACAGACAGGAAGTGACAGGACTCTGAGCGAACAGATGTGATGTGACGTGACTCTGGATGATCAGTTGTGTTGTGACGTGACTCTGGATGATCAGCTGTGATGTGACGTGACTCTGGATGGTAAGTTGTGATGTGACGTGACTCTGGGTGATCAGCTGTGATGTGACGTGACTCTGGATGATCAGTTGTGATGTGACGTGACTCTGGATGATCAGCTGTGATGTGATGAGACTCTGGAAGTTCAGCTGGGACGTGATGAGACTCTGGAAGTTCAGCTGAGACGTGACGAGGCTCTGGAAGATCGCTGAGACGTGACGAGACTCTGGAAGTTCAGATGAGACGTGACGAGACTCTGGAAGTTCAGCTGAGACGTGACCTGATTCATGAAGATCATCTGTGACTTGACTTGACTCAGAAAGAGCAGCTGTGACTTGACTTGACTCAGGAAGATCAACTGTGCCTCGACTTGACTCATGAAGATCAACTGTGACCTGACTTAACTCATGAAGATCAACTGTGACCTGACTTGACTTTTATAGGCACGGACGTGTCGTCGCATTCCTCCTCCGCGACACCCAAGGAACCGACAGACAACAGAGCATAATCCATAAACTGAGCGAGTGACGAACACGGACCCTTGCGTTCTAAGCTAAGATTGTAGAGGTTGATTAATGCCATCACAAAAAAACTCTACCAAAAGACAGTCCGGTAAATCTGAATAGTGCGCGATTGCTAAATATTCTCGAATATAGTTCTCCAGCGATAGCGGGCCTTGTTTAAGGGCTAATAATATTCGTGCTGTGTCCATACCTGACCAATGTTCCTCTGAAAAGCTGCTGGATCCTTGTGTGGCCGAGTATTCTGTAACGGGACCGACGAGACGTGAGACGTGCGGATCCATTTGCAAGGCTTTTATTTTCAGACGTGGTCATAAAACAGGCAGGGGTTCAACAATGGCAAACAGGTACAACACAGGCAAGACAAAGAGTAATCCTAGGACAAGCGTGGGTCTTCGATCAGCAAACAATTTCCAACAGGGCAAGGCAACGAGATAATCCAGATACACAACAATAGTCCAGACAGGGGCAAACAGAGTCCGAATGGCAAGACAAAGGGTAAATCCAAGAAACACAGGCAAGAATCAGAACACGAGAAAAAGGCAAGGCAAGACTATGATTAGATTAAGAAAACTAGAATGGGCTCCGTAGAGTAAATGAAGAGTGACCTCTGGTGGCAAGCGGATGGAAGTCCATGGGCAGGATTCGTGACATTCATGCTGTTACGCAGGAGTGAACATGGTGTCCTTTATCCTCTAATAACAAAACCATACCAACTATTACATACAGTATGAACTTTAGTTAATCACCTTTTCTTAAATGGTTTAATCAGATTATTTCTATCTGATATGTGACAAACCTAGAATACTTTAACAGGAGCCTGAGTGTTACCTTAGTGGGATCATCATGGGTCAACTCTGAGTCCATCAGTAAGTGCGTAGCCTTCTTTTAGAAAGGCTCGCTTCCCAATTTTTCTGGCTTCTTGCACTTTTGGCCACAACTTAGCACGAGCTAGGTCAGAAGTCAAATAAATAATAGAAAAGAAAATTTATATATAATGCAAAAGTATTGGGATACATAAACAAAAGGCATACAAAATTTATTTTATTCAGTCAATAGTAGGAAAGGGAAGATTATCAGGTTGGAGCAGAAAAGAGGAAAATAAATACTATTTTGTATTTTGTATTTAAAAGCCTTTGGAAAAAATCTAATGTGTTTTGTATTTAAATACATTTAAGATGAGTATTTTTGTATTTTCAAAATACATAAAATACTTCGTGCCAGTCAACCTCTTTATCAGGGTGCTGATTTCGTTCATCAACTAGTTCAGACACGCACCCTCCACTCAACCCCAACATTCATCACGTGAGCTGCAGCTGTACAGTCATGGCCAAAAGTTTTGGCAGTGACATAAATTTTGTGTTTTGCAAAGTTTGCTGCTTAAGCTGTTGTGGTGTTCATTCAAATTGTTTCTAGATTATTGTGTAGAGTGATCAGATGCATTTTAAATAATTGCTAAAAGCTTTATAGGCCAAAAAATGAACTTTTCACAAAAAAACAAACAGGAAGTACAAGGATTGGACAGCAGAAGACTGGTGCAAAGTTATTTTCTCTGATGAAGCTCCCTTCTGACTGTTTGGGACATCTGGAAAATCGATTGTTTGGAGAAGAAAAGGTAAATGCTACCATGAGTCCTGTGTTGTGCCAACAGTGAAGCACCCCGAGACCATCCATGTGTTGGGGTTGCTTTTTTCAACCAAGGGAGTGGGCTCTCATAATTCTGCCCAAAAACACTGTCGTGAATAAAGAATGCCTGCAAGAGCGACTTCTTCCAACGATCCATGAGCAATTTGGTGATGATCCGTGCATTTTCCAGCATGATGGAGCACCATGTCACAAAGCAAGAGTGATAAAGAAGTGGCTCGAAGATCATTACATTGAAATTTTGGATCCGTGGCCAGGCAACTCCCCGGATCTCAATCCCATAGAGAACCTGTGGTCAGTCCTCAAAAGGCGAGTGGACAAGCAGAAGCCCACAAATTGTGATCAACTCCGAGAACTAATAAGGCAAGAATGGATCGCCATCAGTCAGGATTTGGCACAGAAGCTAATATCCAGCATGCCATAGCGAATTGCAGAGGTTATGAAGATCAAGGGTCAACACTGTAAATATTGACTCATTATATATTTTTGCCAATAAAAGCCTTTAAAACTTATGATATGTCTATCATTGTTTTTCAGTATACCATAGAAACATGTGGAAAAATAATCTACAAATACTGAAGCAGCAAACTTGGCAAAACAAAATTTTGGTCTGATGTTCAGCTCCATTCAGCATTGAGTGAGAGACTTTTCTGGAATAAGATAAGGTGAGGATGTCATGGTACTTGTCGATTAAAGTTCAAATTGTGCATCATTCAGATTTGCCTTCAGTTAACATGAAAGAAGAAACGAGCTAGTAAGAAACGAAATAGTGTTAGCCAGTCAGTTTTGATAGTTAATCGGTTGTTGTTTTTTATCAACCAGCTTGTCAAATGTGTTTAAAGCATTACCGTATGTTAGTCCTGGGTGATATGACAATACATATCGTGGCAATGATATAAAGAGTGAATCGACTGAAATTTTTCTAAATTGTTTACATAGATAGGCCTATCGGGGTAAGTGAATATATCCGTGCAGCTTTTAGTGGGCTGGAATTATTGGAAAGTTGGAGTGGAAAAAGAAGCATGAATGAATGAGCAATAGAATGTGATGTGCTTGGTGCAGAGTGGGATGGCGACAATTAGGCCTACACTTTTGACTTAAAGGCCCTTTCACACGGGACACGGCAAGCTGTGGAATCACCGCTCAGCTACCGATTTCTGTCATATTGGAAGCGTTTTGTGCAGTTGAAGCCTTGTTTATACTTTCGCCTGGCTCTACGCCTCGAACCTGCTGACTGCCCGCTCCTCCCTAAACGGACAAGGCTTTTATACTTGATGCACTCGCCGTTGTATAATTCTGTGAAACGACTCAGAGTAATTGTTCTCCAAACCATCAGAGGGCCGGGGTGAGAGGAAGTAGTTTGCCGAGTAGTTTGTCAAACAGTCATTTCGTGAGAAGTTTGTAAATAAATGGATTTTTTCCACATCTAAACTGATTTTGTTGTGGCTAATTTTGGAGGACACATGTGAAAATGTTTTTGAGTACACTTCTTAAACCCATACAAAAGAATTCAAAGAATCGTGTAAAATGCAGTAAACTTGAGATTGATTTGTGACATTAGAACAAACCATATGAATATGATAACCTATGTATAACACTAAATTAAATAATGCTTTCATATGTTTTTTTAATTCATTAAACATTTTATTTTAATTAATATTTGTATTTAACATGGACCATTACTTTATTCATTATTTCTGATATTCCAGGCTCATTTTGTAAATGTAAGCATTTTAAATTTTAGACAAATGCAAACTTGGTGCGTGTAAGGTCTGTTTTGGGTTTTGTCATGTTCATGTTTTTATGATTGGTTGTCCAGGTGATGTGTCTTGTTTCCCATTGGTTTGTTCATGTCATGTGACCCTCTTTGTTTGCTATAAGTAGCCATGTTGTTGCCTTTGTTCCTGGTCGTGTATTGAATGTATTTGTCCTGCTGTCGGTTAGTGTTTAAGTCAAGTCTGTGTTTATTGTTTGGATTCTGGATCACTTTGTAAATAAAGCTGCACTTGGGTTCATCTTCAACTCGCCTTCAGTGGACTGATCGTTACAGTGCTTAATGAAAAATTTGTCACATTTACAAAACCAGGTGATTGTGTTCATCCATCTATGCAAATGTATGTTTATGTAGAGACAAAATAATTAGGTTAATCACTGTCTGTCATCAACAATTTAATTTGTAAAGACACTGATGAATGGTTCACCACAAAAAAAATATCTTACGGTTTTGGTTTTATTGTTCGTAAAAAAAACTAAAACAAAAAACCTTTGAGCAAATAGTGTTAAATGCTATTTAAATATTCTAAAAAAAATAAAAAAATAAAAATTTTAGATAAACTTTCTAATTTGAATAAACTTTATATACAACAAAATAAACTTTAACTAAGAGGTATAAACTAAGAGGTATGTAAAATGAAAACAAAAGTTTCTAAGCAGTTGTACACATCGAAATGTGTGTTTGTTTGGTCCAGATAGATTTCAGCCTATAGGGATACCTGCACTGAATGGCCAATTTCACATGTATGTTGTGTATTTTCAAAATACAAAATACTGTATTTGTATTTAAATACATTTCTCCACACAGTATTTTGTATTTGTATTTAAATTTTTCCACAGAGGAAAAATTTTTTAAAATACATTTTCATCTCTGGATAAAGGTTTGAACATGTGCTTAATAAGGTAAGCATCCAACAGGTCTGTGAGGGATGTGGAGTTAATGAGTTAGTTTAACATGTTATAATGCATTGCAGGAAATATACAGTTGAAATAAATAATTTAAAAGAAGAACTAGTGAGGAAAGGACAGCATTACATTTACAAAAATCTTCTAAATCCAGACGCAGGGTACATTTTTAAAAATCTACTAAGTCTAGGCAGGTAAAAATAGTACATTATTAATGATGGCTATCTGAAAAGTACAGGTTTAAATGAATATAGTGAGTGTGTATAAAGTTTTGTTATTATTGATTTTGGTCGAAGCCTTCAGCCCTTATGTGGGTAGATGTTATGTTACGTTGGTTGATGTAGTTGCGTATTTGATTTAGGCTCAGGTAGGACGATCGTCAATGGTCCATTTGGGAGATAGGTGGCGTTAATGCACTTTTTGTTTCCGATCCACAGTAAAACAAGAAGAAGAAGAAGAAGCAGCAGCACCGGCAGAAGAAGAGATTTCATGTTGCTAGGAAACCGTTGTTTAGTAGTGTCAGCGTGTGAAGCCACTTTATTTTCATTTGAGGTGATAATAAACGCTTTCACAAATAATGGTAAGCAAATGTTGAATTTTTTAAAATCATGCCGTCTGTGCGTTTATTGTCAGATGAACTTTCAGCGAGAATAAATAAATGTGGCTCAGTATCGCTGTTGTTGGTGGGTGAGACGCTAGTTTATCGACTAATTATTACTATACTAGAAGCTAACGTAAAGTCTGATAAAATATGTTTATTACAAACTGTATTTCCGCACAACTAAATAGAGAATGTATTCCTTGCAGTATATTACTTCAGTTGTGTCAATCCATTAATAGTATATAAATATATCCCATGATTTTACTACAATAATAAATAATAAAAAATCCAATAAATAAAAAAACATGGTTATTGTAGTTAGACCATGGTAATCATAAATGAACCATGGTTTTGCTACACTAACTAGGCCTATAGTTTAACCATGGTATTTGTAGTAAAACTGTGGTAATACAAATGGTAATAATAATAAAAAAAACTACACTTTTAATTTAACAAAACCATGGTTAATAAAGGAAATGTGAAAATAGTTTCCTGTGCCGTGCGCAATAGAAATTTACAGTATCCAGCACAATAGACCTAAACTTTGTTAAACTTTACCTGTTTATCTGTCCATATTCCAGCCGCCAAAAAGAAAATCTTTCAACAAGTCCCCAAAGGGCAAAACTCCAACAGTAGTGGATGGCTTGTCCACAGATGAGATGTCTAAAGAGCAGGTGTGATTTTCTCATGTGTGTAGTCTACTACTACTAATAATAATGAAACCAAGAACACCTTGTTAATGGTAGCCATTCATTTATATTTCGTTTTACCAATCTGTATTTAACTCATGAGAGTTTTGTAGTTGGAAGAGCACATTGTGCGTCTGCGAGAGGAGCTGGACAGAGAACGAGAGGAACGCAACTATTTCCAACTAGAGAGGGACAAAATCCACACGTTTTGGGAAATCACCAAAAGACAACTGGAAGAGAAAAAGTGTGAACTGAGAAAC